TTTTTTTTTTTTTTTTGAGTCAGTTGCTTCATTGCCAGCAGAACTTACACCTTTACTGGTTTAGCTGTTTTGCACGGTTTCAGAGCTGTTGTACGTGCATGTTAGTAATGGTCTGGTTTTCCAGGTAGGTCCTTTCCTCTTGATGACGTTTGTGAGGGAAAGTCTCCTTCCTGAGCGTGGGTCAGCATGTTGGCACTCGTGTGCTCTGGTCACAGGATTTGATAATACACTGGCATGTGGCTATCCTCATATTACCATTGGAGTTGCAGTGGCTGGCAGCTGCTTCACTGTCTTTGTGCTAGCTGTGTAATACCTTGGTACGTGCTCCAGTACTCGTGCATGTGGAGACTGTGTCTGTGGTGTTTCAGCACATCAGCAGAGGCTCCCTATACCTGAAGAAGGGTGACTGCGCTCAAAAGCTTGCAAAGATCTTTTTTCCAACTATTCAGTTGGTCTAATAAAACATATCACATCTACCCAAAGAACCTTGCCTGCCTCTGTCCTTAGACCAATATGGCTACAACCAAAAATTCAGTTTGCTTGGTAGTGCATGTCATCCTGTGTGTGTGTGTGTGTGTGTGTGTCTCTCTGTCTGTGTTCCTTCTTGCTTGGTTTCTTCTACTTGCTACCCACCCGCTCCACAACTGAGGAGGAAGCAAGGCTGCTTGGTGGTTTGTCTGCCCCAGGTTATGTTGTCTGGCTTGAGGCTGTCCTGCAATAATTCAGTCTGCAGGGCTCTGCTGCCGACTTGAGTGGCTCTGATATGATCTCTGCTTCTGTTTGATAAACCCAAAGGAGCAGCCTTACCTCTGTCTCACCTTTGAATGTGTTTGACAGCCATTTGCTTTGTATTGGGCTCCACTTGATGCTTGTGGTCAGTGGTACCCAAACGTACAGCTTATTCGGTGAAGAAGAGCCTTTGCAGAGCATGTCCAGGGAGGAGGCATCTGGTGCTAGTGTTGGAGCAGTTGAGCTACACAGAGTCCTGCTTCCTGCTGGAGATGGGGACACTGATTCTGGCTGCCACTCTACATGATCACCTAGCCAAATCTCACATCTGGCCTCGAGGGTCAGATGTACCTCCAGGGTACCTCACATCTGGCCTCGAGGAATTCTCTTGCCCTACATTGGGACCGGTCACAGTTCTGGGACAAATTATTTTTGGGTCACAACTAGTACCTGTACCCCAGGTGTTGGGGGACAGGGGCTATTGGCCCCATGCTGTTAATGGATACATTGATATAGTGAGTCCAATGTCAGGCCTTCAGCCAGTGGCAGAGGCAGAAAGAAAACCCAGCTGTCCTGACTCCTTTTGTCCTGCTCCGAGACAACAAAGACTCCTTTATTTTTTTCTAAATAAGAGTAGGATTGGACTACTGTGGGCAAATGAGTTGGCAGGTGTGTGCAGCAGCTTTGAAACCTTTCTTTACCTTTTTTGTTTCCTCTGCAATACCAAACAGATGGTAGACCAAGAGCAGCCCTTCCCCCCATCCTTATCCCTAATTAAGTGCTTGCAGAAGTCTTGTTTACATTGTTCTTAGGCCAGGATAATTCAGTCTCTCTCCAAATTCCTCTGAAATCTATTAGCAATTTTAGTCCTAATATACAAAGCGCTTCATTTTAGTTCCCATACAAACTCATGAGATATAGAAAGTTTGTCAGTAAAGTGAAGAAACGTTCTCTTTCTAGCTTGGCATCAGCCCTGCTTTGCCAGATGCTCCTGGAGTGTCACACAGCCCTTTGTAAAGGAACATGACCCCTTTTCCTCTAAAGAGTTGGGTAGAAATGAGGTCTGAAATGCTCCCAACACAAACCATGATCTGATAGCTGTCGTACCAGTATGGCCTTTTCAACTTGGCCCCCAGAAGTCAGCTGCTCATAAAACGCCAGTCTAAGAAAGGCTGGTCAGAAGATAATTGTTTCATGAAAATGTGAATCTTTGAATTTTCTGCAGTAAAACAAGGAAAAGGTTGAGCAGCTTGGGTACTATGCTTGAAAAGTGGGGTCAGTTCTTGCTTCAAAGAATATTCCTTTTTTTACAGAGGAAGAATAGCATGAGCAAGAGAGATTGAGAGCACCTCCTCCACAGTGTCCCATGGCAGGGGGTGAGCACGTTCTGCGGATAAATGAGATCTGCAGGTTAATGAATCTCTCACTCTTGGGCGAGTACCCTAACAACTAGGTTGTTGAGTGAAAGGGGGTGGGCACTCCTCTGGTTTTGTGATTTAATGGCTAAGTACAGACAGTCAGAAGGCCTGAGGCCGAATCAGTTTAATCTCTGTAGGTTAGTCTAAGATGCATGGGTTGAACCGATAAAGCAAGGGAACAGACATTCACTTTTGATTCCAGAAATGCAGCTACATGCCTGCAGTGGCCCAGGCCAGAAGCCAGGGGGTGCTAGAGCACGCCACGCTGTTTGGTGGAGCAGACAGTTTGGGCCAAGGCTAGCCTGCCCACCCTGAGGGAATGTTTGCAGGGGAGGTGCAAAGCATCCTGGGATGCTGGGGTACTGTGAGTTAACTTGAATCTGGAGGGGATCTGGGACTGAAGTTCAGTAAACCGATTTAACCTAAATCAGTTAAGTCAATGCTGCATCCATCCAGGTCTATCTTTAACTGGTTTCAGGCATTTTGAAAGCTGTTTATGTGCACTGAACTTCTGTTTTGTTATAGATTAGAATCGGTTTCTGATCTGTTTGTGTCATTTCTATCCCTAGTCAAGATGCCCAGACTGGGATGTCTCTGTTGTAGTGAAAGACAACCAAAATACTTGTGTCAGTTTGATCTGAACCTTTTTCTTTTCTTTTTCCCAGTTTGGCTCCAAATAGCAAACTGTTTACACAGGCTTGTGTGAATATGCTTGATGTGAGCTCTCTGCATGTGTCACCTGGCTCTGGAGGGTGAGGAGGCGCATGCTTTGTAGTGGGCATGTTGGGAGTTGCTGACCCAGAGGGTCTACTACAACTTGAAGTCTCCTGGCTTCTGTTCCAGTGTTTAGGGGAGGAGGTGCTTTAGCAGTTCAGTTTTCCTGCCCTGTCGCCCTCTTCTATACCCATTTCTTTCCCTGCGTCCTCTCTAATAAATCCCCCAGACCACAGCCCTGTCTCCTACCTTCCATCCTCTTTGTTCCTTCTCTTAAGTTTAGGTGCCAGTAGTGGAAACACTGGGAGTACAGGAGACAGTCTCCCTGCATGTGGCTCTGTGGCCTGGCAGAAAGCAAGATACCATGGTGTACTTAAAGGATAACTTAAGATGGTTGACACAGGACTGACATGCTGAACTGCTCAGGAATCTGAAAATGTTTATTTCCTGTGTGGGGATGTTTTTAATACTGAAATGCAGTGTGTATTCTGTAAGCTTATACATGGAGGGGAGGCAGGTATGGCTTGAATTACAGGCAAGCTCTTCCTTGCACTCTTAAGCAAGTAAATAATATAGCAAACAAGTAAATAGCAAGTAAATAATATAACATGAGTTCTCCTTCTATTGCAGTATTTCTCTAATGTTAGTCAGAGATGAGCATCAAGGGAATATAGATTCTTGTGGAAGCAAGTCTAGCTGATTGATTTGCCTCATTTTATCATCCCTATATTTGGAGAGAGTTCTGTTTTTGTGTCTGAAGCTTACTTAAGAGAGGAGATGCTTTTTAAAATCAAACCTTCTGGTATATAACCAGGTTTCTTTGCAGGTGAAACTCACCTTTAGAAAATTACTAAAAGGCAGCCTAAGTTGTTTGCCGCTTTTTAAATTTAGCAGTTGCTAAGCTCTGTTATTTGGGTTAGAAATGAGAAATTGTGCATCATAGTTAATAAAGGTAGACCCACCTGTTATAAACATGTATAAACAGTCTTTTATTACTTAAATGAGATTAATTTGAAGTTTATGACAAATAAAGTTACAGGTAAGATCTGAAGATTGCCTCTGACACAGTCAGGAATTACAGAATGCAAACTTCCCTCTGTCATCTAGGGCTCCTGTATATAGATTGCTTCAGGCTACCCAAACTGCCTCCTTATATCCTGTAAATAGCTTTTTTTAACAGGTTAGCTCCTAAAAGCTGTCACTGTGTGTTGCTCCAAATGATAACACCTGTGCCAACATTTTAGCTATAATTGTCTTATTGTTTTTAAAAACTCAGTTAAATGGAATGGTATTTTCTGTGAGCGTAAGTCTGACTGTTTGAAGTCTTGGCCTGTAATTGAACTTTCTGAATGTCTGCCATTTCTTGCCTTTCCAGACAGAGATGTTTGCTTCTCCCAGATATGGATGTTAAACTGTCTAGTAAGCCTCATAAATAAGGTTACACTCTGAAGTATGCTTTCCAATTTCAGATAAGACTGACCAAAACTCTGGAAAGTCAGCTGTAGACAATGGTCTTACATGAAATGGAGGGAGTGGATTAAATGGGGGTCTAACGGACCCTTTTGGTCTCTTCATTGCTGCAGTTCTAGTCTCAATTCTGTATTTCTATCTAAAATGTCATTTTGCACAGTGTATTGTGTACAGTGTGTTCAGCTAGTTGGTGGAATGGTGCTTCCATTTCTGGCCTAAAAGGAGTTGGATTTAGTACTTTTCAGTAAGCCTGTACGAGAACTTTTTCCTGATCTTTGCAAACTAAACTTTTTTTCCAAAAAAAAAAAAAAAGCAGCCTGCTGTCCACAATCCTGCTTCTGAAGTGAAGCACATCAGCTTAATTCTTTTCACTCTGGCAGTTGGTTTACATCTGCTTGCATTTCTAAGGATCCCGCTTTAGGAGAACAGCTGGAATGTTTTAAGTGAATGCTGAGCTTCCCTGTTTCCCAGTCAAGGGGGACGAAGGCCAAAACTCTGGGTTTTTTATAGTATTGGAGGAATCTTGCACCAGGCTGGTGGTGTTCTGGCAGTATGATAGAATGTGTTGGGGTAAAGCTTAGGATGCAACTGATCTTTGTGTGTAGACTCAAACTTTATTTTTGAAATGACGTTAATTTAGAAGGAGTGAAGAGTAAAGCCTTTATAAAGCAAGGTCTAGCTAAAAATGTAATGATGATTGAGAACTTTTATTTCTGTCCTGTATGAGAGTAGTGCATGTAAAATTATGTTGCATGAATGTGAGTGTTTTAGTGTTACATCTTTCTCATTTTTGTTTGTTTCTAGGCAAAGTGCTTCCTGGATTTCAAAGCTGGAGGCACATTATGTCACGTTCTTGGTGCTGCTTACAAGTATAAGAATGAACAAGGATGGTAAGCTGCTGTGTTTAAGAAAAATGCAAAATCTCCAATTGAGGATGAAAGTATAGTAAATATAAAAGGGGTACTGACTCAGAATGATGGCAGAGGGCTTTTTCCATTTAGTTTTAGTTTCTCTCCATCTTTTAGGTAGGCCTTGAATTATTCCTGGGGTAGGAAGCCATCCAACCAGCCTCGAGTAAATCAAAAGGCTGTATTACAAAAATAACCGTACCAAAACATTGTTTTAGTGTGGATTTTACCATGTCTCTTAAATTTGTTCAAGAAGCTGCCATGAACTGAACTGCTCTAAAAACCTTCCTCTCTTCCAGCATTGCTAAAACCTGGTATGGGGTATCTGGCTGGGATCTATGGAATGATACTTTTCTTTTTTTCCTGCTACCTCCTGAGCTTTTAATGGTAAAGCAGCTCAAGTAACTTTCACACAGTAACTATTCTTTTATTTTTTCTTCTTCCAACAAATTTACTTTCCAGTTGCTGAAATCTTAGTGAAAGCAAAGCTCTGGCACTTGCCCATCTCTTTTTCTGCTGCTTCGTCATAAACTAGTGTGTGGTGTTATTCTTGTCCATGTGAAGCGGGGAGGAAAACAGCACTGGAAAAATCAGCTTTGAGGCTCAGACTTTTTGAGCCTGGGATGTTCCCTCATTGACTTGACTCAATGGTATTGTGTGCAGTTTTATCTCAGATGTGATTCTTTGAGGTTTTTAGTGGTACTTGTCTTTCTGTTTTTGAATGATCTGGCTTGGAGAACTACCTTTCTTGGTTTTGCTAGTCCAGAAATAGCAGGAAAATGCACTTAAATTGTGCAAATGGACATGTTTTGTATATCTTTGTAATTCAAGTTGCTTTCTAAAACATGTTGCTCAAATTTAGTGGCAAGAAATTGTGTTTAAATCAAGGACAGTGATTTTTGTATTTACTGTGACATTCCCACTTGAAAATTGACTGTAGATCCCAGGTAAATGCAAGGGTGAATGTTTTGAGTGCACTATGTGTGGGGTAGTAAATCTCCCTTCCTCAACCTTCTCTGCCATATATACCTACTTCAGAAAAGTACAGTAGTGGATTTGAGCCGTACCACTTGAACTTCCAGCTGACAGGCTAGTGAACACAATGGGAAATGTTTAGAGACATGACTGTCTGTTTGCCTGTGCTCCCACTGTTCCCCTCTAATCAGTCGCTGATGCAAACATGAGCCATGTCTCCAGCAGCTGAGTTGCTTCTGTTTAATTGCTATTCTGTCTGATCCCAGTGGAGGCCAAAGTAATATAGTTAATTGGCTACCTGCCCTTGCTGATCATGTTGGCTATCTTCAGTCTTAGTTTGGTGTTAACAGGTCACACGATCTCTGCAATTTTTTTCTTTTATATGGGGACTTTTTTTAAGGGAAGCAGAAGTACAACATCGGGGCTGAAATATTGAACATATGTGTTCATAATTCTACATTCATGTGCAGCAACTGCACAAACCTGTCTTGTATTAATGCTGTATTAATGTAAAGCATCATTTTTGTCTCATTCTGTAAACTATATTCTTCACTTACAGGCGGAGGTTTGACCTTCAGAACCCATCCCGAATGGATCGTAATGTGGAAATGTTCATTAACATTGAGAAGATGCTAGTGCAGGCAAGAAACTTATTGCTACAGACATTTTGTTTAGTTTCTAAGTATAGTTCATCCCCCCCGGGGAAGTGGTTCAGTGTCTTTTGGATGCCTCAGGTGACCTTTGGTGACACTCATGAGAATACCAAGATGCATCTTTGCAGAAAAGTTTCTCTCCAATTCTTAATCTCTTCCTATGATCTCGTTTAGAAATTCTCACTAATTAGTGAGGTGGAGCTAGAGGAAACACTTAACTGCAGGGGAACTGCTCAAAATCCATTTTAAATTGGGGACTAATGTTAAAAACTAATGGCCAGATCCTTGCATTCCCACAAGCAGCAAATAACTGATAAAGTGGTAGAACAAGAAACTGGGATATAGTAGTCAGCTGAACCACCTTGATCACAGTGATGCCCTGAGAAGAGTTTATGACAGTGTACTTTCAGCATGCCTCGTGGC